AGCCCTCGCCACCAGGCCTTTAAGGCTAGAAGCAGGCGCACAGCCAAATGTCAAAACTTCAACTTCTGCGCCAATACTGTCCCCTTTACAGCTGACCTTACGGAAGGCAAGACGCGCGGGAGAGGATATTACAGGACTTTCAATGTATTCGATCCTAGAAAGGCCAGACCCTACCAACCCAGGGCAGACGCTGAGAGTGCATGAGGCTATTCCTTTTAAAATTCTCAAGGAGTTTAAAACCTCTGTTTCCACGGATGGCCCCACTTCTCCGTTTGTCTTGGGCTTGCTTGGCACTGTGACTAGTGAAGCTCTGCCTCCTCTGGACTGGCCAACACTGGCTAAGGCATGTCTTTCCCCCGGAAATTATTTAATGTGGAAATCCAACTGGATTGAACTTAGTGCAGAGCAGGCGGCTAGAAATCAACGACATGGTGTGCCTGTCACTCTTGAAATGTTAATAGGAACCGGGGCATGTCACAGCTTACAGGCTCAGATGACGCTCCCTTTGCAAGCTTATCAGAGATAAATAGTTGTGGCACTAAGGCTTGGAGGGAGTTGCCCACTAAGGGAGAAAAGACCATGGACATTGCAAAAATTATACAGGGGCCAGAGGAGCCCTAGCAGGCCTTGTGGCACGGTTGCTTCAGGCAGTAGACAGAGTGGTTGGAGATCCCGATGCAGGATTCCTGCTAGTGAAGCAACTGGCTTTTGAGAATGCCAATAGGACATGTCAGGAGGCTCTACGCCCCCACAGAAAAAGGGGGTCAATTTCTGAGTTCATCCATATTTGTGCCGATATTGGGCCTTCCTATTAGGTTCAGGGAGTGACTTTGGCTGCTGCATTGAAGGAGTCTTTGCAGAGGGACCATTCAGGGAACAAAGAAAAAAGGACTTGTTTCACTTGCGGGAGATCAGGCCACTTTGCAAAGAATTACAGGCATCGGGCTGCCTTAAGGAGTCAGGAAAATTCTCCTAGTCTCCCTGCTCGGCAGCCAAGTCTTCTTGTTCCTCGCTGCCCCAAGGAGACACACTGGGCCAGTGGCTGCCGCTCCCAGACAGACATTGATGGCCGGCCTGTTGACCCACATCAGGAAAACGGCAAGTGGGGCCGACCCCGGCCCCACCAAACAGTAGGGGCACTGTCACTCACCGGCACAGCCGTACCACACCGGCCTGCCAGTCGGCCCACTGTCAAAGACCTCTACCATGCCCCTCCAGGAAGCGCAGGATTGGACCTCTGTCCCACCACCAAATATGTACTAACTCCAGAGATGGGGCTACAAGCAATCCCTACAGGGATTTATGGACCATTACCTAAGGGCACCATGGGACTTATTTTAGGGAGAAGTAGTTTAACTATCAAAGGTTTTCAGGTTTTACCAGGTGTAATAGACCAAGACTATACTGGTGAAATCAAAGTTATAGTAGAAACAACAAATACCATAATTCAAATTTTTCCAGAAACTAGGATAGCCCAGATTATAATTTTGCCATATTATATAGCAGGAAAACTTATCTCCATGGAGCTTCGGGGAGAAGGAGGATTTGGATCTTCTAATCAAATGTACTGGGCGCGGCTAGTTAAAAGAGGGCGCCCAGAGCTAGAATTAAAGTTAAATGGGAAAGTTTTCCGAGGAACAGTAGATACAGGGGCAGATGTTTATGTGATTGCCTCCAGGCACTGGCCCCCTGCATGGCCTCTTAATACTGCCACTGCCAATTGACAAGGCATTGCCCAAGTCTCTCAACAGAGTGCGCAGCTCATCAAATGGGAAGATTCAGAGGGAAATACAGGATATTTTACACCTTATGTGCTTGATTTTATACCTGTTAACCTCTGGGGAAGGGACATTCTAGAGCAAATGGGAGTATTACTAATGAGTTCCAATGCGGTTACAGCTCAAATGTTAAATCAAGAATTTTGTCCCGTTAAAGGAATGGGTAAAAGGCAGCAAGGCAGACTATCCCCTATCCCCGCTTCTACCCAGCAAGGGAGAAGAGGGCTAGGATACAGGGAGCCACAGCTTTTTCTTTAGGAACCTTGGTCATCTCTCCGACCCAGAGAAAGACTGCTGCAAAAATCACATGGCTCTCTGACGACCCTGTTTGGGTTGATCAATGACCCTTCACTGGAGAGAAGCTTCAAGTAGCACAGCTTCTAGTACAAAAACAGCTTGAAGCTGGTCATATTAAACCTACTTATAGCCTTTGGAATACACCTATCAATATTTTCGTAATTAAGAAAAAAATCAGGTGGAGACTTTTGCAAGATCTCCGAGCAATAAATAAAACGATGGAGGTTATGGGCCCCCTTCAATCGGGGCTGCCCTCACCTACTGCTATTCCTCTTGATTATGAACTACTCATTTTAGATTTAAAGGATTGTTTTTTCACTATCCCTTTGCATCCAGATGACTGTAAACGATTTGCATTTAGTGTCCCTGCAATAAACTTTAAAGAGCCAGCGAGGAGATACCACTGGAAGGTGCTGCCGCAGAGAACGGCTAACAGTCCTGCCTTATGCCAGGACTTTGTGGATGCAGCTGTCCGCCCCATAAGGCAGCAGCACCCCCAGGCACACATCGTCCATTATATGGATGACATCCTATTGGCTCATGAGAATGTGGACACTCTTCATAAAGTGTTTGCAGACTTACAACATTCGCTTTTATCTATGGGACTGTGTGTTGCACCAGAAAAGGTACAGAAAAGTTCTCCTTTTCAATACCTAGGCAGTTTAATTGAAGGACGAACTGTGCGTCCTCAAATGCTTACAAATTCGGACAGATTCATTAATAACTTTAAATAATTTTCAAAAGTTCCTTGGGAATATTAATTGGGCCCGTCCTTCATTAAAATTGACTACTGCAGATTTATCTCCTTTGTATGGTATTCTTTGAGGAGATTCCTCACCATCTTCTCCTAGACAATTAACTGCAGAAGCTAGTATTGCTTTAACCAAAGTAGAAGCTGCCCTTCAAGCTGCTCAGCTTACAAGAGTAGATTCAACTGCACCCCTTCAGGTAGTAATTTTCCCTACTGCTCACACTCCCACGGGGGTCATTTGGCAGGACCCAGGAGTAATAGAATGGCTTCACTTGGCCCATTCTCCAACTAAAGTATTAACGACTTTTCATGATTTGGTTTCTCAGCTCATAGCGAAAGCACGGTACAGGCTAGTTCAATTAATAGGGCAAGAACCTTCCCTCATTACAGTGCCGTTTGCCATAACACAGCAAAATTGGCTATGGCAATATTCTGATTGGCAAACAGCTCTTGCTAACTATCCTGGTCAAATTGGAAATCATTATCCTGCTAATAAGATTTTACAGTTTTTGTCTGTTACAACTTCTATCTTTCCAAAAATAGTTAAGCAACAACCTCTCCCCCAAGCACTAACCGTCTTCACTGATGGGTCCAGCTCAGGGAAAGCTGGATTTCATGTAAAGAGTTCTAAAGTAATTCAGACAAATTATTCCTCTGCACAACGAGTAGAAATCCAAGCTCTCATTTATGCTTTAGAAAACTTTGCCTCTGAACCTGTCAACATCTACAGTGACAGTGCTTATGTAGTTGGAATGGCTACAATTATTGAAACTGCTACCAACTCTGTAGGAGCTATTCCATCTGTTTATCACCTTGCAAAGTTTTATTCAAAAATGGCAATGCCCATGTTTTATTGGCCACATTAGATCCCATTCTGGCCTTCCAGGTCCGCTGGCTGCTGGTAATGAGGAAATAGATCGTCTCGTTGCCTCAGTAGAGGAGACCACCCCATTTTCCATGGCACAGGCTCGCATGCCCTGCATCATCAAAATGCCTCTGCCTTGCGCAAGGAATTCCATATTTCTCGAGAGCAGGCTAGCCAAATTGTCAAGCAATGCCTTCAGTGTGTTATCCATCTCCCTGTGCCAGCATTAGGGGCAAATCCCCGAGGACTTAAACCTAATCAAATCTGGCAAATGGATGTTACTCATGTGCCTGAATTTGGCAGATTTCGGCGGGTCCATGTCTCTGTAAACACATGCTTACGTTTCATTTTCGCTACTCCCCGAACAGGGGAAAGTGCAGAGCATGTAATTAACCACTGCCCAGCGGCTTTCCCAGTCATGGGACGGCCCCTAGAAATTAAACCAGATAATGGACCTGCATATACTAGCTCCTCATTTCAGCAATTTGTAAGCAATACCAAATTATGCATAAAACAGGAATTCCCTATAATCCCCAGGGACAGGCGATTGTAGAAAGAGCTAATCGAACCTTAAAAACTCAATTACAAAAACAAAGCAGGGGAGAGAGGTATAATCCTACCCCACAGAATCCGTTAAATCATGCCCTTTACACTTTACATTTTTTAAATTGTGACGATAAAGGTCACACAGCAGCCGAGAGGCATCAAACTCCTGGTGCCGTGGCATCTGCCGGTATGGCACGAGGGAAGGATTTACAAACAGGACAGTGGAAAGGGCCAGACCCAGTAATGACGTGGGGGAGAGGCCACGTTTGTATCTTCCCAAAAGGCACTTCTAACCCCATCTGGGTGCCAGAGCGAGCAGTGCGTCACCACCATGGATCTGGATAACAACTCATCCCACCATTCAAGAAGCTGAATATCACACCTCTGGTGCTGATGCCAGCTCAGCCACCAGTCCCAAAGAAGGAGAAGCGAGTAAGGCAGCAGGCTAAGACCACCAGAGAAGCTAGTGTCCCCACATGGGGTCAATGGAAGAAGCTGACCACCGATGCCCAGCAAGTGGTGAAAGAACAGGGGGTTCAGGTAACCCCCTCCAGCCCCTTTCTTGCTATGATGGCACTCGTCAGCTGCCAGGTAAGGATGGCTGCAGCAGAAACTTACTGGATTTATGTTCCAGACCCTCCTATGGTCAATCCAGCCACCTGGACTGGAAAGTCAGTGCTAGTATTTATTAACAACACCAATATGGTCGGGGAGAGCTCCGACAAACATGTGACTTCTTCTTCCCAAGGTGATTATACTTATAATGGCGGAGGGCAGCTTCTTCGTGGGGCAGGGCCAGCACATCTGCACGCGGGACTACCAGCGCCTGCACGGCACCCGCCGCTTGGCCTGTGACCGCTTCATCGAGGGCGAGGTGGTGTCAGCGCTGGGCCGGACCTACCACCCCGACTGGTTCGTGTGCGCCGCCTGCCGGCTCCCCTTCCCTCCCGGGGACCGTGTGACCTTCATCGGGAAGGAGTGCCTGTGCCAGAAGTGTTCCCGGCGCAGAAGTAAAAACCGGCCAGTCCCCGGTGGCCCTGGACAAGCACTGGCACCTGGGCGGCTTCAAGTGCAAGACCTGCGGGAAGGAGCTGAATGCCGAGTATACCAGCAAGGACGCGCTGCCCTACTGCGAGGCCGACCACCACGCCGAGTTCGGCGTCCGCCGTGCGGGCTGCGAGAAGTCCATCGCGGGGCGCGCGCTGGAGGCGGGCGAGACGCACTGCTCCCCATCGCCCCCCCTCCACTGTGCGCGCTCTGCGTCCGGTGCGGCCGGATGTTCGGATGTTTGGATGTTCGCTGAGGGCGAGCAGATGTACCTCCAAGGCTCCTCCACCTGGCACCCCGCCTGCCGACAAGCAGCCAGGACGGAGGACAAGAACAAGATGCAGAAGCAGGTTTGCCCGGGTGCCACCCCCCTGTGCCTTCCAGGAGACCAGGACGTCCTCCGAGAGCATCATCTCCGTGCCTGCGTCCAGCACCTCGGGCTCCCCAAGCCGGTCATCTACGGGGGACGAGATCCTGGACTCCAGAGACCTGGCTGCCCTGCCCAAGAGCAAGGCCATCTCCAACATCTACCACCCCGACAGGATCTCCTACTCGCCCTACGTCAGCCACGCGGGGGACCGGCCGAACTGCCTCGAGGAAGACAGGGACGACCGCTCCACCAGGTCGGCCAGCCTCGGGCGCTACAGCCCGACCTCGCGGCCGCCCCAGCACTACAGCCAGCCGGGCAGCGAAAGCGGCCCGAGCACCCCCAGCCTCTCGGTGCTGTCCGACGGCAGGCCGCCCGCCACCTGCCAGCAGGCGCCGCGCCACCTCCACGTGCCAGTCACCGGCATCAAAGGTAACATCTCCCGGGAGCCCCCCAGCTACAAGCAGCAAGCCTCGAGGCGCCTGGACGGGGAGGAAGGCGGTTCCGACCAGGACGGCAGGAAACAGAAGGGCAGCTGGCTGATCCCCCAGGGGGACGCGGACACCAGGACCAACTCGCCTGACAGCCAGGCTCAGTCCCACAGCAGCGGGGCCGACCGAGACCCTCTCCCCACCGGCCCGGGAGCTGGCTTCTACTCACAGTTCCCCTGTTCCAAACCTGACCCTCTCCCCGAACACGGAAAGGATGGCCTGGACCACCGGGACGCCCATCTGGCGCCTTGTGGAGCAGACCCGGACGCCAGCTGGGGCGCGAGAGAATGCAAGGTCTGTCCCTATGACAACCTCATCGTCACAAACCGAATCCGAGTGAAGCTGCCCAAAGACGTGGACAGGATCAGACTGGAGAGACACCTGTCGCCCGCGGAGTTCTAGGCGGGGTTCCGCGAGAGTGTGGAGGGGTTCGACCGCCTGGCGCTCAGCAAGAGAAACGACATCCAGAAGAAGGCCCTGGCCGAAACCGGTTTGGCTCAGTGGTAGAGCGTCGGCCTGCGGACTGAAGGGTCCCAGGTTCGATTCCAGTCAAGAGCATGTGCATTGGTTGCGGCCACATCCCCAGTAGTGGGTGTGCAGGAGGTAGCTGATCGATGATGATTCTCTCTCATCGATGTTTCTAACTCTCTATCCCTCTCTCTTCCTCTCTGTAAAAAATCAATAAAATATATTTTTTTTTAAAAAAAAGTGTAGTTTGCAGCCTCAGCCCCGCCCTCCGCTCTGTGTGGTCTCCATGCTCCGTGTCGCTCCGTGTCCCTAGCACATGGACACCTGGATGTTTTCTTTTGCTTCTCTTTCTTTCGTGCCTGTCATACGGTCCCCCGAAAGGCCGCTCCCCCACCCCACCCCATGCTGTGTGTAATGCGTGTGAGTCCACGTCCACGGCGATTTCCTCGCTGTCACCCTCCATGCCTGGGGCGGACCCGCCTCCCCGCCGGCCAGGGCCCGGGATCGGGACTTCCATGGACTCTGCCAATGCCCCGTGTGGCTTTGGGTGACACGGCTGCCTCCCCACGGGAGAACACACACATGTGGCCCCTCAGGGCACAGGTTGCGACACTGTCCGATTGGCGGTCAGCAGGGCCCGGGCAGAGGCCTGCGGTCCCGCGGGGAGGTGTGGCCATCACCGGGGCTGGGTGGGCCCGGCCCCGGGCACCGTGTTTGTGAAGCGCCTGGAGAGGCCTGTGGACACCAGCCAGGCGTCGCCCACGTCTGTCCCCGGCGTCCCATGGAGCCAAATCCCCGTGTGTCCTGTCCGTCCCACCCGTCCCGCGCATGAGTCAGCCTCGCTCAGCTTCCTCCGGCCCCGCACACGCCGGCCCCGCGCCAGCCCGGCTCCGCCAGGGGAGGGGAAACTCCGGCACCGAACACGGTTCCGTCCACTCAGCGGTCTGAGCCCGAGCTGGAAAACCCATCTCCTCCTTACTTCAATGGATGGCGGCCGCGGGCCTGGGAAAGAAAGGACGCTGTATTCTAACCTGAAAAAAAAGAAAAAAGAAGAAAAAAAAAAAAAAAAAAAAAAAAAAAAAAAGGCAAAGGAACTAGAATACAAAACAATTTTGAAAAAGAATAAAATTGAAGGAATCACATTACCCAATTGTAAATTATCTTATCATTAACCAAGACAATGAGGTACAGAAGGAACAGACATATAGAGCAATTGGATAGAGAGTCCAGAAATACACCTAACTAAAATATAACCAATTGATTTTTCACAAAAGTGCAAATAAAATTCAATGGGGAAATGACAATCTTTTTCAACAATTGGTCCTGGGAAAACAAACGCAGTTTGATGATTTTGGTGGCTAGAGACAGACTTGGTATACAGTAATTAATTCTTTCTCTTCTCCCTGGGTTCCTTGCCAACTCATTGTATCCCAAAATTCAGGGCCAGTTTTTTTGTTTTGTTTTTAGAAATATTTTATTTATTTTTTACAGAGAGCAAGGGAAAGGGATAGAAAGTCAGAAATATCGATGAGAGAGAAACATTAATCAGCTGCCTCCTGCACAGTCCCCACTGGGGATGTGCCTGCAACCGAGGTACATGTCCTTGACCAGAATCGAACCTGGGACCCCTCAGTCCACAGGCCGATGCTCTATCCACTGAGCCAAACCGGTTTCAGCCAGGGCCAGTTTTACAAAGTGATAAAGTAGACAGTTGCTGGCTTGCTTGAATTTTAGGACAGTAGATAATTAACAACAACAATAATAATAACAAGTAAATGCATAATAAAAATGTCAGGTATTTTTCCAAAAACTTTATGTGTGTTAACCTGTTTAGTTGTTGTGACAACCCTGTGAGTAAGCAGTATTATTCTTCTCATCTTATCCATGTGGAAACTGAGGCATGCGGCTACTTGCCCAAGGTCACACAGATAATAAGTGGCTGAGCGAGGATTCCAACCAGACAGCCTGGAGCCAGAGTTGCACTTCTTGATCACTATATTCTGCCATTTAGAGGAGATACCCGCTCTGTTCCTTGAAATCTTACCGTTATTCACCATTTTCTTTGGTGTCAAGAGTGTGGTCTTCCAGAACTCCATTGGAAAACACAGTGTCCTCCCAGAGTGAGAATTCCAAGACCCAGTGCCAGGGCTGTTCTTTCTCCTTAAAATGTTCTCTCTAGTCTTTCCTGTCCAGTGAACTTCTGGTCATCTTTCGAGATCTAGCCCAAATATCTACCCACCCTCAGACCCAAGAACCTTCCTCAGGAAACTAAAGAGCTGTCTCATGACAGCTGTGGTGCAGATGTCTGTATGTTATTACTATTGGTTTGTATGTATGTTTATCTTTTGTCACCAGCCTATGATGTTCTCAATTATAGAAACTTTGTTTCAGGTACTATGCTTGGCCCTACATGGTAGAAAGATAGATGAGATATGGCCCATGACTTCACAGAGTCCCCAAGCCTATTCTTGATGGACACAGCTGATATTTAAGACAAAGTTATAAGCAAAGGATATGTGGGCACAGAGCACAGAAAATTTACTTCTGATTAGGAGTGATATTTGAGCTGGGACTAAAGGACAAGGAAGATTTCAATGGGAGGAGGAGTGAGTTCCTTTGGGAAATTAACAATTTGTGCAAAAAGGAAAAGAATAGACTTGGAAACTATATTGGCAGGACTGCCATTTGCCTTGTGGCTTCAGGCAAATCACTTCATTTTTTTTTCTCTCCCTATACTTCAGTTTCTCCCTCTGTAAAATTAGAATAATATCCACTCATTCCCTGGGATTTTTTTAAAAAATATGTTTTTATTGATTTTTTACAGAGAGGAAGGGAGAGAGATCGAGAGCTAGAAATGTCAATGAGAGAGAAACATTGACCAGCTGCCTCCTACACACCCCCTACCAGGAATGTGCTCGCAACCAAGGTACATGCCCTTGACCGGAATCGAACCCGGGACCTTTCAGTTCGCAGACCAATGCTCTACCACTGAGTCAAACCAGTTTTGGCTGGGATTTGTTTTAAGTATTAAATAAAATCGTGTCTGGAAAATGCTTTGTGTAAAATGATAAATGCCATAATTATGCTTCCTAATTCCTCTGAAGAATTAAATAAGATGGAGAATACATACTGCGAGTTTATTCTGGGGCAGGCACCCTTTTCTATACTTTCCTTTGTTGTCCTAGCAATTTATGATTATCCTACAAATGGGGAGAAAAAGGCACAAAGAGCTTCAGTTGTCTTGCCCAAGATCACACAGCTATGAACTCCTGGGGCCCAGATGTAAGCCCAGCTGATACCTCAGAGACTAATGATGTATTAAAGATTCTCTCAGTCTGGCCAAGTTATGACACATCAATCAACTGAGAATGGACTGATGGGACAGAATGATCCTTCTCTGAGGAAATGGAAATCAAGATTCCTCTCCTTCACCTCCATCAGTTGAACATGTGGTTAATTGTAAGAACCATAGAGATTGATTCCCCCCCCCCCGCCCCCAAACATTTTCTGTCTTCACTTAAAACTTATTAGAAGAAAAACCCAGTCATGAAAGTTATAGAAATTTTACAGGTTGTTTTTTTTTTAAGAATGGAATAGGTGAACATTCTCCTGGTGGAGCCTTGCCTGACAAGGTCATTGTTAAGAAATACAAAGCCAACAGCTGGATAAATCAGAAAAATGAGGTCCCATATTCACTCAAATAAAATGGCATTTATCTGTATTTGAAAATGGCTCTGGAACATTTTTATTTTATTGGTATGAGAGTTCCAACAGAACCCTAAAGCGATTATATAGAACACTGGGGCTTTTTAATAGCTTCTAACTTCACAAGCCACGGTAATTTAAAAAGGAGCAGATGAACCGCTGGGAGCAGGGAGATTTCTGCTGGCGAATACAAATGTGTTCTCTGCTACATTGCTTCTGCCTCTTTCTGGAGAGAAGCGAATGCACTTAGGAATGTGATGGAACTTTCCAGCCGGTGGTTTTGCATTATCAGGAAGGAAAGTGTTTGTGAAAATGACTGATAATTAGGCATGAAAGCCTGCAAGCCTGAAAAATGGAAAAGCATTGCAGAATCTTTATGTATATCAAGGGCTGGACGTGGCACAATCTTTTGGAGGGGATTTTTAGCAATGTGCTGACACTGTGATGCACAATGTACCCAAAAGCCTCTACGTACAGGATGTTCACTGTAGCATTGTTTGCACGTATGGAAATGGAAATACTCTACATCTGTCCACATGAAAATATTTAAACAAATGATGGCATATCCATAGTTTAAAAAATGTTGCTGCTAATAAATAGAATGAGATAGATCTAAATATTCTGACACAGAAAGATGACCCTGATATGTTAAGTGGGGGCGTGGAGGGGGGGAGAAGCAAATTACAAAATAGTATCTATCCTACAAATTCCATTTAAAAAATGTTTTTAATGTTTACATATTCATAGAAGAACATCTGGAGGAATGTGTATCAAAGATTATCAGAGACTATCTCTGGGGGGATGGTTATACATATTTTTGTAATGTTTAACTTGGCCAGACTGAGAGAATCTTTAATCTCTGCATGGATTACTTTTGCAGAGAGAGGGGGAAAAACAAAACAAAGTCAAATTATTGCCAAAAGGGAGGAGAGCAGAAAACATAACATGGCTGGTAGAGATTTATTCATTATCTTGGGGTGAAAGGTTTCAGTGTAATCCTGCAGTAAATGCATTTCATATTCTGGCAATTGGGCAAGGGTGGTATTTGCTCAGAATGAACCAGAATGGTTTTGCTCCTGGAGAGAAGCTGAGACACACCCCGTCTCCCTCCTGCAGCACTTATTCTGGTCTCTCTCATCCCTTCAGCTACTGCTGCTGCTGTTCAACCTTGGCTGACGGAACAGAACCAGCTGACATCTCATTTCTCGCTCTTGCCTCAGAAGCTGCCTGTTTTAGAAGTCACTAAGACAAAGTGGTAAAGCGCTTGGCCTTTGACGCATGGGAGCCCTGGGTTAAAGTCTCCTGTCTGCATTTTGGAAATTTGCTTCTCCTTTTAGGCACTCTGTTTCTTCATCCTATATAATAAAACCCTAATATGCAAATCGGCCAAACAGGGGAACGACTGGTCAGCACCCCTGCTGCCCCCGAGAGGAAGGCGATGGGGTGGGGGGGAGAGAGATGAGCAGGGCCGGCCAATGGGGGACCCCTCCCCCGTCACCCTGCCTGCCAATCACCCCAAGATCGGCCCTAATCACTGGCCAGGCCTAGAGACCATGCCCTATATATTGGAACAGTTTCTTAGATTTAAAAATTAAAACCTAGCAAGGCTACTCTAACACGAAAAAAACAGGATGATGCAGCGATGACATGCATGGACTCTGGCTTGCACATTTTGTGATCAGTCCTGATTCTGACATTTGTAACTGTGTGACAAAACCAATTACTTAACTTCTCTCTGTTTCAGTTTTCTACCCATAAGAGGGGGAAAATGGTACTACTGCCCCAGAAGGATCATGTTATGTACTACTTTTTATAACCAGGGCAAAAAAATGTAGCTGCCCATACAACAGCAAGACGCCTTTCACCGGTATGAGAAGTATGGTCACTGGTGCATGTAGCATCCCAGATTGTGAGAGAGATTCCGGGCCTACACCAGCAGTGGGGCATCCCCTGAGGGCACAGGCGGGGCTGAGGGACAGCCCCCTCCCAGGCACGAATTTCGTGCACCAGGCCTCTGGTCTGAAAAATGATACTCTTGAAGAACCTGCTTCATGGGGCCTTTGGAATAATGGGAAGAATAGAAAATAAATACTTTTAAAAATATATTTTATTGATTTTTTACAGAGAGGAAGAAAGAGGGATAGAGAGTTAGAAACATTGATGAGAGAGAATCGTCAATCAGCTGCCTCTTGCACATCCCCCACCGGGGATGTGCCCAAAACCAAGGTACATGCCCTTGACCTGAATTGAACCTGGGATCTTTCAGTCCGCAGACTGACGCTCTATCCACTGAGCCAAACCGGTTTCGGCTGAAATAATAATAAACAAATTTCATTTATTATTATTGTTACTGTGTCCTATCAATTCTTCTTCCTGATATCTTCTGCCTGATAGACTCTTACTCATCCTTCAAAGCCTGGCTCAGATGCCGCCTCTGCGAAATCTCCTCCATTCTCTCCTTGCACACCCAGAACTAATTAACACTCCCTCACTAGAGGTCCTGCAGGGTGTTGGACACCCAACTTCATGCTGTGCTTTATATTCTGGGCTGGTTTGTTAGTCTCTTCCACAGACCCGGAGCTCCTGCAAAGCATCTCAAATCCTCAGCCCTTAATCTCAGTGCCAGGTTTAGGTTGGAATTCAAATAATCATCTTCCGAGTTGGATTAATCCCATCCCAGGCTTTATCAACCCCAGGCCAGGAGTCTTTAGTTCACAGTGAAACCATGGTAACAGTTTCCCCATGCCAACCCAGGCTAACATTTGAACCCAACAGGTCCCTGCTCAAAAACACTTTCAGGACTAGTAGGATTGTAGGATGTGGACCCGGATCTAAGTTTTAGCTCCAGTTTTGCCTCAAGCTGACGCAATCCTAGTCACATTGCCTTTTCTCTCCGACTCAGCTTCTTCGTCCCTAAAATGGAGGCAATAACTGCCTCCTACAGGACAGCAGAGGAGAGGGACTCCACTGAATATTCATGTGAAATGTATCAACATTATCCAAATCTAGCTGTTACTACTTCTTTTATTTTTTGAGAGGCAGGGTATGCAGGGAAAAAAGAAGAGTATTTTGAAAAGTCTCTGTCCTGGAAGTCAGACTATATCCTGAATAGCCCTGTGATCCTAAACACATTTGTCCAGTTACACAAAGCGGTGAGCTCTCACCTGGGGTCGTGTTTATTCACAGGAAACACTTCATGCACCTTTTTGTGTGTGTGTGTGTGAGGTTAACCCCCAAGGCAAAGGGGCAGAATCTCTTCTCCACCCTTAATATTAAATACAAATAGGAGAGGACATAGGTGTAGTCCTTTACCATTTATGGAGCACTTTCATGCCCATCATTGGACTTGAAAAGGGCTTTAACGGGAAGAAATCACAGCCACATATTAACAGTGATAGTCTCTGGGTCGGACATAGTTTTAATTTTATTTGTGTCTTCCTAAACTTTGAAAATCTACACTTTCGTTGTGGGCTACCGAAAAACGGTTGCACAACATGATGAATGTACTAAATGCCACTGAATTCTACGTAGCAAAGTGTACAGTTTTGTTATGTGAAAATCCACCTCGTTAAAAAAAAATCTTCTGTCATACACACGCACGATTTTATAATCACTTATTAAAATGTGGTTTGAGCTGGGACCGGTTTGGCTCAGTGGATAGAGCGTCGGGCTGCGGACTGAAAGGTCCCAGGTTCGATTCCGGGCAAGGGCATGTACCTTGGTTGCGGGCACATCCCCAGTAGGGGGTGTGCAAGAGGCAGCTGATCGATAATTCTCTCTCATCGATGTTTCTAACTATCTCTCTCTTCCTCTCTGTAAAAAATCAATAAACTATATTTTTTTAAAAATGTGGTTTGAGGCGAGAACAAAAAAAGCAGTTCCATTAGCCGACAACGCTGTCCCCCAGCCTGCAGTGAGCTCCTCCGACCACCAGGGGTCTCCGCAAGCCCTTGGCGCCCTCACACACGGGCGGGCGCCTTCTCTTGCGCCCTGAGAGCGCGCGTGCGTGCGGAGGCGTGGCTGGGGCTGGCCGCTCGCCGGGGCCACCGGCACCCTGGTCCTTGCCTGTCCCTCCTGCTCGTGTCTCCGGCGCCAGAATTCCCGCGCTCAGGCCGGGCCCCCGTCTTCCATCTCCCCGCCCTTTACCCCCTGCCGGGTATCGGTCCGCCGCCCTCGGCCGGGCTGCGCCGAGGGTGCTGGCCTCCCTCCGCCGCGGCCCATGGCGCTGCAGGCGCTGCCGAGCTCGTGGGTGGCCTTCCGCAAGATCCTGTCTCACTTCCCCGGGGAGCTGAGCCTGGCGTTCGCCTATGGCTCTGGGGTGTTCCGCCAGGCGGGGCCCAGCTCCGACCAGAAGGTGAGCCCGGCCCGGAGCCGGCCCCACGCCTTTCCTTTCGCCTTTCATATCCCCCGCCCGGAGCCCCAGAGCTGCCTGCCGGTCTGCTCCGCGCACCCACCCCTCAGCCCACAGAGGACACTCTCCGTGGGACCGTGCCCCCGGTCTGACCACGGCGAGAGCGGAGTTCTTTAGGTCAAGTAGCGCGAGCCCGCTTAACCTCTAGAGCACGAGATGCAATTATGTGGAGGGAAAAGCTGATGCAGAGGCCAAGATGGTAGAGAAGAAATATTTGCCAGGTGCTAGCTCAGTGTTCTGAAGCTTGAATTCCCTGAGAAGCTTAAAAAAAAAAAAAAAACACACACACACACACAAAAAAAAAACCCACAAAAAAACCTGATGCTTGTGTTCCATCAGCAGAGATTCTGATTTAATTGAGGCGGGGGAGAAGTGGAGGCCTGGGCTTCAAGAATTTCAAGCCCTAGCCGGCTTGGCTCAGTGGATAGAGCGTTGGCCTGCAGACTGAAGGATCCCAGGTTCGATTCCGATCAAGGGCATGTACCTTGGTTGCGGGCACATCCCCAGTAGGTGTGCAAAAGGCAGCTGATCAATGATTCTCTCTCATTGATGTTTCTAACTCTCTATCCCTCTCTCTTCCTCTCTGTAAAAAGTCAATAAAATATATTTAAAAAAAAAAAAAAGAATTTCAAAACCTTCCCAGGTGATGCTACTGTGTAGCCCAGCTTGAGAAGGACACCTCTGTAGCTGTAGGAGAAAATACAACATGGTCTTCCTGACTTCAAGAAGCTGAGGGACTGGTTGTAGGGCCAGGACAGGTGCAGGGAAGTCAACTAAGCCAAAGTTAGTGGGTGACCAGTGTATCTACCTATGCTCAGGACGTTTACCAAAACCAGGTAGGATTTGGCATTATTACACTGTGGCCTTGGCCGAGCACAACAGCAGGGAGGGTACAGTGTTCCTTGTGACTGCAGATTTTCCTCGGAAAATAAAGTTTGCTTCCAAGGTGGAGACAAGATTCAAGACAGCAGAAGAGGGACAGACACATATTTTTCATTTAAACAAAGTTTTTCTATGTGTGCTTTAGAGCTTTTGCTGAATTAATGTAAAAGGAACAAATGGCCAAATAGAGTTGTTTTCTGAGTGTGCAATCGTTCTGAACTGTGTTTCTGTTTGCTGTAGTTCTTACACAGCCCAACAGTTTGTTGTCACCTTCAATAAACTAAGGAAATGGAAGTGTGCGGATTGCAATAGAGCCTTCTGGATTTGGATACCTGGCTGTAATCTGTCTGGCCATCTATACTGTTGCTGGGATTTGCTGTTTCCTACCTATAATAATTTTTGTTTTTGGTTTAATTCTCACCGGAGGATATGTTTATTGATTTTCTAGAGAGAGGAAGGGTGAGAGGGGGAAGAGAGAGAAACCTCAATTATTTGCCTCCTGAACACCTTAGACTGGGGATCGAACCTGTAACCCAGGTATGTGTCCTGACTTGGAATCCTGCAACCTTTTGGTGTATGGGACAATGCTTCAGCCAGCTGAGCCACAACAGCCAAGGCCATACTAGTTTTTAAGTAATACTTTTTTTTTTTTAAACTGACAGCATATGAGAAATTACAGATTATAAGTGTATAAGTTATAGGTTCTTATAGGCTGGTTATTTTTTTAAAAAAATTAACATAATTATACAATTTTTAAAAACATGTTAACCTGAAATCTTAAGTATCCAGTTTTTTTTGGGGGGGAAACCCAGTGCAGGCCTTAGCCTCCTGACTCTGTAGCCACCTCTTCATTTTTCCATGAAAATTTTCCTTTGAGCAGAGGTGGAATTCCTTCCAAGAAAGGCCCTTCCTTTGCTTTCCCTCGCTTTCATTTCCTAAGGTTAATAGGTTTTGCATATTCCAACACATAAGTCTCTGTCGGATCTGTCTCTATACCCTTCATTGCCTTAGTGACTTCTTTCCTCACCTGGAATCTTGCTGTTGGCCTCCAGTGAGGTTTCCCAGCCTTTATTTTCTCCTCCCTCCAGTGAGTTCTTCTGCAGGAAAATTTCTTGTTATGACATCCAGCCTCCCTGTCTTGTCTCATCTCCCACCACTCCCCTGCCTGCATTCTTCTCCAGCCATAACAAACTACTAGTACAGTGGTCAGCAAACTCATTACTCAACAGAGCCAAATATCAACAGGACAACGATTGAAATTTCTTTTGAGAGCCGAATTTTTTAAACTTAAACTTCTGCTAACGCCACTTCTTCAAAATAGACTCGCCCAGGCCGTGGTATTTTGTGGAAGAGCCACACTCCAGGGGCCAAAGAGCCGCATGTGGCTCGAGAGCCCCAGTTTGCTGACCACAGTACTAGTAAATGCAGCACACAGGGCATGCCCCGTTCTCATGTCCACAGAGGGTTTTCCTCCAACAGGACTCCCTTTCCACCAGCCCTGCTTTTTAACTCTTGCACATTCTTCAAGATTCAGATGATCAGTCTTCAAAAATGTCATTGTATAGGAAGTTTTCTCCTTCCTGTTGACCCAATTTTGAGTGAAATTAGTGCATTTTGCATTCTTCTGTCAAATCCATTTGCTGACGATTTGTCTGTTTCCTCAGTAGACTTTGACCTCTTTATGACTACCTCATGACCTATCGGAGCTTGTAGGTCCTCAGTGAGTGGTTGGCAAATGGGCGAGAGTTAAGTTAACATTTCCCTTTATATAATACTGTGTAGAGCTTATCCACGGGTTATTTCATCTGGAAGAAAAGTGGAGCATATTCAGCAGCATTTACAGGAAAGGCAGTGTACAACAGTGGTTCAGCACACAGGATTTGGTACCAGATTTTATCTGCTGTCGCCAGCTATGTGTCCTTGGGCAAGGAACTTAGTCTGTGCCTTGTGGCTTTCTTCCAAAAACTTGGGATAGTAACAGTGCCTACCTTGTTTTGAGGACAAAATGAGTTACTGTATATACATTATATATACATATATATATAATATATAAAGTGTTTAGAAGAGTGTTGGTATGACAGTACATGTTAAATAGGCATTGTTGTTATGTGTATTGATGAAAACAAAGCTCAGATTGGTTCCAGAGGCTTGCTTAAATTTCTCTTGAAAATCCCAGGCCTTTTATTAGTCATCATGGCATAAAACTTTAGAACTTTCTGCTGTTATCTGGGTGCCTTTCCTGGAATTAAAATTAAAATTATTCTCTTTTCTTCACCTCCCAGACAGCCATGCTGGACTTTGTGTTCACAGTAGATGACCCTTTTGCATGGCATTCAAAGAACCTAAAGAAAAATTGGAGCCATTACTCTTTCCTAAAAGTTTTGGGGCCCAAGGTTATCACCACTATCCAGAATAACTATGGCGCTGGAGTTTACTACAATCCGTTGATCATGTGTGATGATCGGGTAAGCGACTTTGGCCTTTGTCTTCTCTTGGGTTATTATTAACCTTTGTTGTTAGAATACTAGCCAAATATGTATGTTCTTGCACTCAGGAAATGTTTAAGCTCTTGCTAGATGAAGGTGGTCAAATGTGACTGGCTTTATTTTTTGCCTTTGACCAAGTGGTTCTCACATTTTAATGTGCATTGCAATTCCCTAGAGTGCCTGTTAGACACAGATTGCTGGGCCCCACCCCAGAGTTTGTGATTCAGTAAGTCTGGGATAGGGTTTGAAGCTTTACTTTTTTTTTTTTTTTTTGTAAATTGAGATATAATTGTCATATAACATTGTATTAATTTTAGGTATACAACACGGATATGTGTATATATTATGAAATGATCACCATAAGTTTAGTTAGTATCCATACCCACACATAGTTACAATTGTTTTTTTCTTGTGATGAGAACTTTAAAGATTTACTCTCTTTTTAAAAAAATATATTTTATTGATTTTTTTATAGAGGGATAGAGAGTTAGAAACATCAATGAGAGAGAAACATCTATTCAGCTGCCTCTTGCACACTCCCTACTGGGGATGTGCCCGCAACCAAGGTACATGCCCTTGACCGGAATGGAACCTGGGACCCTTAAGTCTGCAGACCGACGCTCTATCCACTGAGCAAAACTGGTTAGGGCAAAAGATTTACTCTCTAACAAGCTTCCTGCTGGTCTGGAAAACACACTTTGAGAACCAACGGTTTAGTCAGTGGCCCATTAAGGACCAGAGTGGAAATTAATCTTATCTATAGGGAAGGACTGACATTCTTCCAGAAGGAATTTGGAAGTGAAGAGGTTATTATAGGTATTTAGGAGCAGGCCAAGTGGTAGGAACCTCTTGGTGCCAGCAGGTGGGTGGAACCTGATGGTGAATTGCTGGAGAGCAGGTAAAATGCCTGGATCCCGGCCAAGGGTTGTCTGGCAGCAGGAACCCTGCTGGACTCTCTTTCAGATAAAGGAGCCCAATGTCTAGGAGGGCTGCCGAGAACTAGGCAGGAAGACCACCGGGTACTAAACCCAGCCTCCGGGTACTAAACCAGCCTTCTAGAGGTAAGCGGGGCTAAGGATGACAGACGGGGTCCACCAGCTGTGCCACCTCTGCTCAGTGCCGCTGATTGCTTAGAGCGGTCAGACTTTGACGCGCAGTCACCTAAAGCTCTTATCGAATGCAGATTCTGATTCAGTTTGGTCTGGAATGGAGCCTGAGATTCTGTAATTTTGTCAAGCTCCCAGGTGATGCTGATGTTATTGGTCAGCGGGCCACACTTTGTAGGCCAGGAGGGTGAGTACTTGCCTGGGCGGGGTTTTGAAGCCCTGTCTGAACTCGGCAGGAAGGAGCGCTGTGATTAGTGGTGATGTCCTGCATAACCGTTGGGCCCTGAATTTACCTTTTGGCTGAGGGCCAATCCTGCTCCACCTGCACTTTTCAGATGAAAAAAAACAAACAAGACTCATAGAGAAAATAAGTTCCATAAGCTCAGGCAACTAGGCAGAGACAGGCCCCTGGCTTCCAGGCCAGTGGTGTTTCTGTTACCTCCCAGCTTTTGCATGCCTACAGCAAGAAGGCTTCCCGCAAGACTGTAGCTAGAGCGGAGAGCAGGTTATTCAGCACAGCCTTCCATGTGCACTTTAGTTATGCCAAGCACGTAGCTTTGTTCTTTGCCCATAATGAATATTATGCTGAGCCTACCTCTAATTGGTAGTTTCAAACAATATTAAAAGCTCCAGTAACCAAATATTTGGGCATAATTATATGCCAAAGGGATTGTACTTTTTAATTAAAATTCTTTAGCTACTTCTTAGATATTTGTAGCCTGAGAAGGCCATTGGGATACTAAAGTTCAACAGAACGAGACCAGAGATATTTGTTGAAACAAATAGGATTTTGTAACCTGGAACAACTGCATGCAGAGTTTGTGCAAATTACTGTGGCATGAGCTTGACCATAATTCCATGTTCAGCACTGATAGAGATGTATTATATTTAGATGTTGCTTTGTAATTATAAAAGTGTTTAGAATAGTCCATAGTGAAGAGAAATTTACATGTAAAGGATGTAAGTAAAAAACGTTCAATTATATAAACAAAATTTCTTGTACTTGGTGGTAAAATGAGCATTGGAAGTCCAGACTAAAATTCAGGGACCTAATTTTGTCTCTGCTTCTAATGATGCCACCTTGGGCTTGTCATTTATACTCTCTGAGCCTCAAGTTTCTTATTTCTCGAGGGAGAAGCATGAAATTTAGCTACTCAAACTGTCTGTGCTGAAGGACCAATTTTTTATTTCCAGTTCACTGAGGACCAGTACTAGATGGCCTCTAAGAGCCATTCTGCCTTTTAACATCACAAGAGTCTGAGTTAAAATAGTGGTCATGTGATCTCATATACCTGAGGAGACAAATCAGTCTTGGAAACGTATCCTTTGTGAAAATTTTTGGTAGAGATGGGTGTGTTTACAAAATAGGCATTTTGAGTGGCTTTGGAAATCAAGGTACTACTCTGGGCAGAAATATATTTCTTTATATTTTGCATTTGCATAAACAACAATATGGGTGTTTCGCTTCTTTTCATGTCCATTTCTTTTCCAGCTTATCAAATATGGGGTTATAAGCACTAATAATTTGATCGAAGATCTCCTCTACTGGAATAACTTATACATTGCTGGACGACTCCAAAAACCAGTGAGTGTTTTTTTGGCTGCCACAATTAGGGAGACCTCTCCTCTCTGTACCTGACCTTATTTTGATCTTTGATTGCAACCAGATGGAACTCCAAGAAATAGAAATAAGTTTCAGACTCCTTTTCCTCTCTAAGAATTCATTGCCAAACAATATCTAGATATTATCCACACTACTCCTGCCCTCTCTCTGAAGATTCTTCAAATGTCTGGATGGATCAGGCTCAAAGTTAGTCCTTTTGGGCTGGAGAGGATGGTAGAAGAAATGCCCAGTGCTTCACCTTATCTTCTCGAATGTGCCATTGGGCATTGTTTGTCCATTGATATATCTATCCCAGCAGTGCCTGGGACAATGCCTGGCACATAGTGATCATTCAGCAAATATTTGTTGAAGAAATGAATGAACCAAGTAGTTATCCTGTGGGGAGTGGATTCTAATCCCCTTTATTATCCTCCTCAGGCCAATGGTGAGATGCTGTCGTAGTGTCCTTTCTTAATTGAGGATACCGCTAGAGGCGGCTGTCGAGGGCAGTGTCTCCCTGCGCTTCAATAGAAACAGAAAATAAACGAAACAGGAAAAAAAGTGGAGAGGACTCGAACTTTTGACTTGTATTTGCAAATGCCATGTTTCTCCTTTCATGCAGATATGTAGTCTGTTTTCTGAGAAAAGGTCTTTTCATAGTTTGAGAACTAGGGTGACATAATCACAGTTGCCAATCTATTAGCAAGGAAAATTTTTCTTTATGCTGTCAGAGGGTCTCAGGCCCTAAAAGACAGTACATGGATTATTGTTAAATGTCTCCCATAAGCGTGACTGTACTGCCTCTCCTTTTGTCAATTATGGCAAAAATTTAGAGATTTATACAATCTTAGCTTACTTGGTTGTATCATAAAAATCTCTATTGATATACATGGGCAGTCAAGATTCTCTGGCCTTGCATCTGGGTTTAAAATGTAAATGATGCTTGTGGAATTGTGCACCTAAAACCTATATAATTTTTTGAATCAGTGTCACACCAATACATTCGATAAAAAGGAAAATAAATAAATAAAATTCCATGTATGAAAAAATATATATATAAGGATGTAGCTCATTAAAATGTCCAGAAACTTTGATAAAGGCAATTAGTTCACTGATATATCTATATGTAAAAATTTGTCAAGCTGTATCTGTTGGACTTGTATACTTTACTGTCTGTAATTTTTCAGTAAAACCATTATTTCTAAAGTTCAGAAACAATAGGCTTACTGAAATAATTTCATATCTTCTTAGATGAATTTCTCATTTCTAGTCTAGATAACTAGTAAAGCACATAATTAAGCAAATAAATATAGTTGAAAATTTATAAATATTATTTTCTTTCCAGGTTTTTTAATTTAAAAAATAAATTAGTTTGACAGGAAGAAAAATGAATGTGGAATGAAAAGGTTGGGTCTTATTCATTCCTGCCACTTGTTAGTTATTTATGTGAATTTGGGCAACTTGCTTTATCTTTCTGAACCTCTAATGATTTTTCTGTAGAATGGGGACAACAATATTTGCCCTGCCTACTTCAAGAAGGTGTTGAAAAGTGGAAGCAAAATAGTAGTACTAGAAAATAACCAGACATTTTAGAGTCAGACACATCTGTTGGGTCCCATCTCTGATATTCCCAGCTATGTGACCTGTACCAGTGCCTTAATCTCCCTGAGCCTTAAAACATTGTCATCTATGGATAAGGTTGATCATACTGACCTCAAAAGACATTTGAGAAATGCCTAGATATAAAATGCCTGGCACTTAGTAGACACTCAGGAGAAAATCTTTCATTTCCCTTTGTTCTTGTCCATCTCAGAGTTATCCTATATAATAAAAGCCTCATATGCTAAGTGTCCGGTCTTCTTGTTGGCCATTCAACCAATCAAAGCATAATATGCTAATCATATGCTAAGGCTGCTCAACTGCTCACTATGACATTCACTGACCACCAGGGGGCAGACAGTCGACAAGTCAACCAGTTGCTATGACACAAACTGACCACTGGGGGGGCAGACGCTCCAACCGGTAGGTTAGCTTGTTACTGGGGTCCTGCTGATGGGGACTGAATGAGACGGTCTGGACACACCCTGGAGCCTTCCTGTGGTCCCTCCATGGCTGGCCAACCTCCTGCATCCCTTCCTGGCCTTGATCATGCACCAGTGGGGTCCCTCAGCCTGGCCTGCACCCTCTCACAATCCGGGCTGAGGGACCACCACCCCTGCCCCAAGTGCAGGAATTTTGTGCACCAGGTCTATAGTTTTTAGATAAAATGAAATATTGAATGTGAAATTGTTATTCTCTGTACTGTGTTTTGTGCTTGGAATATTTCAATTTAAAAAAATAGATATTAGGGCCCTAAGGATGAAGCTCAGTGGTTGAGCATCAACCTATGAACCAGGAGGTTGATGATTCCTTGGTCATGGCACATGGCCAGGTTGTGGGCTTGATCCCTGGTAGGGGCATGCAGGATGCAGCAAATCAATTATTCTCTCTCATCATTGATGTTTCTCTCTCTCTCCCTTTCTCTTTCTCTCCGAAGTAAAAAATATACATTTATATTTTTATATTTTTATTGATTTCAGAGAGCAAAAAGAGGGAGGGAGGGAGAGAGGTGGAGAGAGAGAAAGAGAGAAACATCAATAATGAGATTCATTGATTGGTTGCCTCCTGCATGCCCCCTACCAGTCATCAAGCCCACAACCTGGGCATGTGCCCTTGACTGGAATCAAACCTGGGACCTTTAAATCTGCAGGCCTATACTCTATCCACTGAGCCAAACCAGCTAGCAAATATATATATTATATATATATATTTTTTTAATTGACATTAGAAAGCTAAAAATGTCACGAAATTTCAGAATGTAAGCACTGACTGGAAATGACCTCAGATTTTTTTCTAAATGTCATATATCCTGGTAATATAAAAACAACAATTCAAGACAAATAGTAACAGCTACATTTATATCATGCAAAATGGCATTTCTCAGCTAACTTGGAGAAGAAAAAGTTATTGATAACAATGACTTTGCCTCAGGCTTATTAAGCGTCTAGCAAAAGAAAATCAGGATATCTTTAAAAGTCATTTGAAAGTGTTGGCCATAACACATGATAAAATAAAAAATCATAAGAGGGTGAATTAACTCTTCTACCCACTCCTGCTCTTAGTTTCTCTGAGTGGAAATCCCGGTTAACCATGCTCAAGATGACTGTCTTTAAACAAACTATTTTTACCTCTAGGTGGCAGCAGATATTAATCAAATGAACAAATCTGATGGACAGAAAGAATTGGTAGTATTTTAATAAAAAGAATGGGTAAATGTCTTAGAAAAGAATAGTGAGAATATGAGTGTGAATTCTTTGTTTCTGTGTGTTTTAAAAGAAAGAGTTACATTAAATTATATGTCTAAAGCTCTAAAATTATTTTCGGTATTGCAACTAGAATAGGATTTCTCAATCACTAGCAATTTAAATGTTTAAAATATACAAGGGGTATAGGTATAAATTTCCATTTATATTTTTAAAAATATGTTTTTAAATTACTTTTAATTTTTTTTTTTTAAAGAGAGAGAGAGAAATAGAAACATTGATGAGAGAGAAACATCGTCAATTGGCTGCCTCCTGCATGGCCCCTATTGAGGACAGAGCTAGAAATCTGGGCATGTGCCCTGACTGATAATCGAATGGGCAACCTTTTGGTTTTGGGTCGATGCTCAACCACTAAGCCACAGTGGCCAGGTTATTTGTCCCATTGAATTTTGTTGTGAATTTAAACTCTAAAAAATAAACTTTATTAATAAAAAAGAAGGAGAAATATAAAGGAGGACCTTTCTTTAAAAAATGGACATTTCCCTCTGTGGCCAGTGTGCTTCAGTTGGTTGGACACGTCCCCGTGCACTGAAAGGCGGGCTCTGGGCTTGATCTCTGGTGGAGGTTGTGCAAGAGGCGGCTGATCAATGATTCTCTCTCATTATTAATGTTTCTCTCCCTCTCCCATCCTCTCTGAAATAAACAAACAAACAAAATTAAATAAAATGTGCAATTCAGTGGTTTTTAGTATACTCACAGTTTTGCAGTCATTATCATACTGTAGCTATTGGCTTACTTTTTGTAGATAGAAAAGTCCCAGAAGTATGAAAGATCCCTCACTGAAGATGGAAAACCTGGCTCACTAGTCTTGGCTCTGCCCAGCTGTGAGCAAACCTTTGGGCCTCTAGCCTTTAAAATGCAAAGTTTGAGCCATTCATTTCTTATTTAAAAGACAGCTAAGCTTCTCTGTGTATGCCAAAGGAATTTTTTTTAAAGCACCACACTCTTATTTTGGAAGAGTCAGTAGTCCAATAGGTAATTAATAAGGTTTCATCCAGCTCAAATGTTCAGTGTTTCTTTTTTGGTCCTCAGGCAGTAACCGTTTAGAAAATTTCACCTTTCTGGCCATTTGGAATGGAAAACTTCCATGGGAAGGGTCATTGGTTAGTGGTTGGGTATTTGAACACTAGATAGGGCTGTGTTCTTTGTGACTATAACTTCACTGTTTGCAATTCAAATCACTGCCTCCTTGTGACTGCATTATAGAGGAGACCACTTGTGACTTTCCCTTTTTTCCTATCATGAAAGGTGCTCACAAATCTCTCGAGTTGGGCTTTTGAAAGTCCCTTCAAGTGTTGCCCCTTCCTCTCTCCAGTAAAGATTTTCTTCTTGGCAGTAGTGCTAATGCTATCTATGCGGTTCAGATGCGGGCATTTCCAGTAAGATACAAACAGCTATTCACAAATCTGAGGACTTTCTTTTTTTCCCAGGCCTCTCTGGCAGTGTCCCAAGAGTTCACTGGCTTTTCACTCTGAACAACAAATAACAGTGCTGCTGAGACAAGTTCTTAGTTCACCTTACACTGGAGAACCAGATCAGAGTCTTCTGGACTTCAGTCTCCCCATGAGTAAGATGAGGTTACCTTCCTACATTCATGATTCTATATGGGAGAAAAAAATTAGGAAAGTTATTCAAGACATAAACATAGGAGTTATTAATAGGACCTTAACATTTGTTTTAGTAATCTTTAAAGAAAAGAAATTAACCAGAGCAGATCCCTAACTGAATGCATGAGAATAATTCAAAATATTTAGAGTTGGATTTGCCAAGCATAAGGGTGTTTCCCTGATTTTGCCATCAACTCATTATGCAACCTTGAGCAAGTCTTGCTGCTGGGCTGCTCCTTGGTTTTACTTTTCTGCAGATGATTGCAATAATATTAAACTCACCCAAGTGCCGAAAGGCTTAATTAAGGGCCATTAAGTCCTTGTAATTACAAGGGAGGAGGTAGTATTGAATAGAGTGGCTTACCTAGCATATAAGAGGTTTTTATGTTGTTAATATTCCCTTAGAAAAAAATAGTAAAAGATAGAAGTTAGGTTTTTAAGCCTGATTTGTAAAATAGTTGTTTTATGATACTGCTTATTTATGATTAATTTTAAAAAATATACTATACTTTGAGATACACATCATTCTCTTTCCTTCTTGTCTAATAAAATTTTAATTTGGAATTTCTTATATGTATGTGTCTATTATGACCTTAATTTTGGCAGAAATTACCTCTATTCAACAAATAAAAGGTAACTTAAGCCCCGTTTTCTAAAATAGAAGGAAAATTTGCTGCCAGCACACATTTGAGATATGTGGACTTCTATACCCTTTCCTTATTTAGAAAATCAGTCAGAAGGAGCGTGATGGTTTTAAAAAATTATGGCAGGAGTATAAATTGGTACAACCACTCCAAAGAGCAATTTGGCAATTCTACTTTTAAGTATATATATCTTAGAACTGTGGTTCCTGGACCAGCAGCACCAACATTACGTGGGAACTTGTTAGAAATGTACATTTTTAGGCCTCATCCAGGCCGACTGATTGAGAAGCTCTGGTGGATGGGCCTCATATGTTTTAAAGAGCCCTTCCAGTGATTCTGATGCTTGCTGACCGTGAGAACCTCTGGCCCAGAGAAGCTCTTGCCATATGCACCAAGAAACACGGAAGGAAGCTCACTTCAGCTAAGGGTTCATATGTAACATCTCATTTAATCTTCCCAACAACCGTGTGCACTTGATTCTGTTATTAACCCCATTTTAAGAAATTATACCCATAGTCACGGAGCAAGTAAGAGATAGAACTGGGTCTTGAACACATTCTCTTAAGTTCAGTGCAGTCTTTAAAACCTAGATTCTCAGAATAGGCTAGAGCAATTTATATTTTCATGAATTTGGGGAAAGTCAAAGATAGTAGCTTTTGGTATGTATTCAGAAGGAAATTTTGTTTTATTAATCAAGGCATTCACTAGTACATTAGGCAGTTTACATTTATTGTCTCATTCGATCTTTATAACAGTTCTTTGCTGAATGTCTGTAATCCCCATTTTATAGATGAGAAGTTAAGTAATTTGCCCACAGCTAAGAAATAACTGGACTTGAGGCCTTATCTGTACTCAAAACGCATGCTCTTCCTATACTACCTATTTTTTCCCCCTTCTTTTTCATTAGTCAAAATCAGTTTGAAATAGAGCATGGACTAATCAGGTTATGTATGAGTAACAGAAGAGTTGAGTTCTAAATAAAGAAGTAAAATTTTGCCTTTGTCTACCATAAAATTACTAGTAAGTGAAGAACAATGAGATTATAAAATAAATGTTAAATTTTCCAAAGAACATTTATTTCATTTCTACTGACTTCTTTTTTCAAAACCCATTTAAGAGAAATATTTATTTTGGGTAGTATAAAACAAGAGATTTGGGGATTGCTTATTAGAATAATAATTATTTTGTGTCAACTGGCCTAACATTCCAAGATCTTCAGGGCTAAGTTTGGGACAGTTCCATGCGTAACCCTTTATCTTGAGCAATACTCTTCTGGAATTTCTCTTCTGAATGTTTTGCTTTTTTCAGGTGAAAATCATAACAATGAATGAGAATGCCACTCTTAGGGCAGCCCTAGATAAAAATCTGAGGAGTGCTGTGACTGCTGCTTTCCTCATGCTTCCCGAAAGCTTTTCTGAAGAAGACCTCTTTATAATGATTGCTGGACTCTCCTATTCAGGTTAGTAGGTTTGGTGCCCATATTCTCTACAAGAAGACTTGTTTGAAGACCATGCAAACACCGCTCCTCATTCTACACTGGGGCTGCAGCAACCTTAGTTCCGAATCCCTTTACTTCCTGTGTAAAAATCCAGTGGTTTCCTCCTTACCTCCACAGTCTCTTCCTTCCCACATGTGTACATAAATCACCCCAGGGTAATCTTTTTGTTGTTGTTATTGTTAATTTTTATTTTGTGACAATCGCAAACTTATAGAAAATTTTCAGTAATAGTACAGAAATCCCAAATACCTTCTCCCCAGATTTACCAATTTTTACATTTCACTACATTTGTTTTGTTATCCTCTCTGTTCCAGTGGGTTTCAAACTTGAGTGTGCAATCCTCTGGAGGGCTTGTTAAAATAGACTACCGGGCCCACTCCCAACAGCTGGTTTTAGCAGGTCCGGGGTGGGGCCCAAGAGTTTGTATTTCCACCAAGTTCCTGGGTAATGCTAATGCTCCTTCAGGGATCCCTCTTTGAGAACCACTGCTCTCTCTGTACATGTAAATGCAATGTATTATGTGTTGTTTTTAGTTATTTGAGAGTATGTTACATATCATGTTTCCTTTAGGCTAAGTCTTCAAAATGTGTTTCCAAAGTACAAGGACATTCTCCTTCATAATCACAGTACAGGTTTCTTCCCTCCACCCCCGCCCCCATTGCTTTCAGAGAGGAAGGGAGAGGGAGAGAGAGAGAAACATCAATGATGACAGAGAATCATTGATTGGCTGCCTCCTGCATGCCTCCTACTGGGGGTTGAGCCCGCCCCCTGGGCCTGTGCCCTTGACTGGAATCAAACCCAGGACACTTTGGTCCACAGGCAGCTCTCTATCCACTGAGCCAAACCAGCCAGTGCAGAAACCACTATCTTAAGGAAACATCCTCTTTTCCAACTTTTAAGTATGAGTCAAAGAACTCCTGAAAATATGGCAAACGCAGTTTGTTCATTTTCCGAATCCCTGCACAGATAAGATTCCATGGGAATGTAATGCTGAAAGAGACCTTAAAGGTCTTGTTCTTCAGTGTTTTTCCCAAAATGTGTCTAGGTTGGGGGAGGGGCAGAGTGTGTGACCGGGTGGGTACCAGGATGAGTGGACTTATAGGCAACTTGTGGAAAACGGGGTCACTTTGTTATTATAATTTCCTCGCCTGGCTCCGTGTGCGAAAGATGGACCAGAAGCCTTCCATTGACTTTGTGGGAGAAAATGCAGAACCGCTCTGTGCTTTACCCACACCACAACCACTCTTCCATTTTTTCCCAGCATCATCAACATCAGCATGGTGGTAGGCAGCTTCTAGGAGTTTTCTATAAATTCTGAACATTCACTAAAGAAGTTTATCAAATAACAGAACTGCTTTCCCCTATTGGCAGATTTAAAATTAGCATTCAGGCTGCTGTCAATCTTTAGCTGATTTTTGCTTTGCTTCCTGGAAGAGTCATTTTAGACTCCTGGTTTCTCCTGAGCTATGAGGCATGTCCAAGTTGTTCAGTACTTTCTGACTCATAATAGTATCATCCTCTGTTTTGTTTCTTTTATAATACTTATCTGCTGCATAGTAGCACTGTACCAGAGACACAGAGAGGTAGGTCGGTAGGTGGGTAGATAACTTAATCCACTCCTGAATCTTCACATAGTAGCCCCATTTGTTAAATATTTATCCTTCCATGAGCCACACACAGTGCTAGGCATATACTCTAGTGTGCATGACATGAGTGAAATTTTTCATGGAGTTTATGTTCTTTTAGGGAGAGAGGCAAAAAGGAAGCAATCAGGTAATTTCAGTTAGTGGTTAAATTGTACGCCATCAGCATCTGTAGACACAAGCAGCAGACTTTCCCCACACACCACGCGAGTCTATTAAAAAAAAATGTCTCCCCTAAGTGGCAGCCCTGACCAGCTTTAAAATAATTTTTCATGAGAATTTTCAGCTGAAAATATTCAAGAACACCTGAATTGTGAGTAATATATTATTTTTATAATATTCATTACAAATTGGTTTTTTATATTCAAAATATCGTGGCATGTGGGGATGGTTTTAGTTTTGGAAGCGTGGCGGTTAACTGGTTAAATGTGATGAAGAAAATAGATCAGGTTGAGGATAGGGCTGTCTTCACAATGGACAGTCATGGAAGGCCCTTTGACTGGTGGTGTGATGTCTAAGCTGAGATCTAAATAGTGATAAAGAGCAGCTCTGAGCAGCTGGGAGAAAGGCAATCAGAGAGAGTTGCTTCCCAAGAGCCAGGTTTTAAATCTTGGTGTGTCTGACTCCACTGTCTCAGCCTCTGGTTACTCCCATTTCTCATCTAGTCTCCTCTTGTTTTCTTGTCATTATATTATATATTGCTTAACCCAGATTTGGATCTGAGAATTTGGCCCAGTATCCTACATTACTCATTTTAGTGCAAAACTTAGGACACCTAACTTGGCACATCCTCTCCAGAGGGAACTGGTTACAACTCTGCAATTCTCAGCTTATGAATGAGACATTTTCCAAGAAGTCTTCTATAAACCAGTTGTTTGGAACTGGGAACATACTTTCCCATTGAAACAGCATTATATGTGGTGGTTGTTCCTCAACCAGGACACAGTATAATGAATGGTTACCTAGTCTATAATATGCTGGAATTAGACTAGAATAGTGAGGATGTGGAAGGATCTAAGCCCTGCAGGTAGTTATCTGTTATACTTTGGGACTTGCCCCACCATGTGTTGAAAGGCAAGCTTTCCTCCTGCCTTTCCTAGGCTTCTGCTAACCCAGAATCCTTGAACAGATCAGATTTTATCACTTTGGTAAACCACCCAAACCTCCCAAGCCCTCAGAATATTCCAAACTTTAAATTATCTACCAATCTCATTTCATTTACAACTTTGACATTTATTTTTCACTTGTTTCTAGTTGAGAGATAATATGTTATCCTTAACTTGTGAAGTTCAACATTTCTCCCTGGAGCGGGTGGAGGAGTGGGGGATAGCAGGAAACAGAAAAAAAAAAAAAATGTTTTTCCATGTTATTGGGCAAGTTTCTGCCAGTAATTACTGGCAGAGGCAAGATCTATAAGTATTACTAGTTGTAATGACAGCCCTTACATTTAACTTAGTACTTAAGGATCACTTTGACTGCCCTGGGGGTCAGTATTTATGGCATTACCGTTGTAAATGATGGTGAGAAAGGAGTAGGTGGAAGATGAGAGTCTGCAAAATTGGGGAGGAGAACGCTCTCTGATCCTCTGGTTATTCTTAGAAGTCAGCATTTAAGTGACTAGAAAAGAAAAACCAAATAAACTTTAAAGTTCACCTTGAACTTTTTTATGTAAATACAAACTATTAAAATGACTAATTTTAGGTAATGATCCTGGTTTAACATTCATCAAGTGAATCAGCGCTCCATAATTTTTGCTTTAAGGAACTTCACATTAATCAACATATGCATTCATAGTGAGTCAGTGGTAGACTTACCAACTAACATACGTGAAAAAGGAGAAGGGGGTGTTTAGGGAAAAAGGATTTTGATGTAACCAAAATCCAAGGCTTATGACAAGAGTAAGTAGCATTTATTATTTTGTGTCAGGAATGTCTCTCACATTCTTTGGAGCTAGTAACTATTTTAATCTTCACAACAATCCTTTGACTTGGAAGCTGTACTTTGATACATTTTATAGAAAATTGAAGCCCAGAAATGCCCACAATCAGTAGTCTGGTAAGTTAGTAGGTGTTGGAACTGAAATTTTAGCCCATACTCTTAACCATTTAACTTCACTGCTTCTCTGGTATTTTGGAGACTAGGTTAGACCCAGGCCAGGTTGGGCAGGGCATTGAATGCAAAGGGAGAAAATGAAAAGGGAACTGACAAGCTGTGCACAACTAGGAGCCATAGAAGTTTTCATGCATTGCAAGGTAGTCTGAGATGTGTTGTTAAAAACAACAAATTTTGCCAGCACTGTGCAGGAGGGAGAAAAACTAAAGAAAGGAGAAAGTTTATTCATTCAGCAAATAATTACAAGAGGCTCCTCTACACACACTCGACTAAGCTCCGAAGATTAAAGAAGTAAATAAGGCAAGCAGGAACCCTGCCCTCGTGGGTGGTTCATTCTAGATGAAAAGTCAGACAGCAAACAGTGGCAGCACCAGAATAAGAGAAGAAGGCCTCTCTAGGAGGTGACATTTGAACTTCACCTTCTTCCCTGTCCACATGAGGCCAGGTGGATTCATTTGGCCCTTCATAGTCTTTAGGAATAAAAACACCTTAAAAAAGAAGAGAAGAGAAAATAAAAACATCTTCAAGCACTCTTGTGTAAGAGAGAGAATGGATTTCTTTCCATTCCAAATTGTCTGGACACAGGCTCAGTTATTTCTAGGAATAAGATAAAGCAGTGAAGAAGTTTAGTTGCCAGTTGAGTGATTCTTGGAGAAAAAAATTAGAAATGGGTGCCAGCACTCTAAAGTGTGAATAAACATCCCCGTTCCTGGATCCTGGTAAAAGTCAGTAAAGAAACTTTTTTCTTGGAGTGAGAGCTATTAAGATTTATTCCATGATAATCACACTCTCTGAAACCTTGCAAGCAGTGTCATTTGATGACTTGCATACTGGGATTTGGAAGCATATTTCTCTATGCTTGTCAAGCTTGAGCTTTTGCTGAAGCCTCAGTTGGAACTCTCTGCATTCATCACTTGCTGATTTCTGAGAATGCAGTACTCGTGAAGGGGGATATTAATTGTCGGTAATATCTAACTTTTATGAATTATTTACTATTTGTCAGGTATTGTTATTTTAAAATTTTTATTTTTTAATTACAGGCAACACTTATTTTATAATAATAAAAGTGTAATATACTAATTAGGCCGGACAGCTGAACGACCTTCCAGACATCCTTCTGGACAACCTTCCGGATGAAGCAGGGACTGTGAGAACTGAGCCCCTTGCATGAATTTCGTGCATCGGGCCTCTAGTTATTTTATATTA